CACACACACAGAGATAATATATTAATTTCCTTGTATATTCTTTTCGTAAAGCAGTAAATTAATATTAAATTAGGACCGAAATAATAACCTTAAGCCCCTAAACCCCAAACCCTAAAAGCCTAATCTGTTTTCTTGAGAGGAGATATCGAAGATGAAGCTGAAGAGTTTGAGTATCCTCTGTGACGCTAGTCCCAAGGGCCACATGAACGCTGCTAGGTTGCATGTTTGCTGTTTAATAGGAACAATCGTGTCCGGTGGCAGCACCATACGTCTTCTAACTTCATCCTAGGTTTGGCTTCCAGTGCTGTGCTGCAATGACTTTGCAGCAGTGGGCACGCTGCAAAAGCTGGCCCCTCTCCACTTCAGCGAGGTAGATACTGCTACTAAGATGGAGGCTGCAGTTGCTGTATCCAATGCTACAACAGAACTCCTGGTGGCCAACCCGAAGACCGATGAACACAAGTCCAAAATGAGCCTAGCCGGCGGAAATCTTCAAGTATCAGTCTTGCACATGCCAGTGCTTTGATTCATTGTCCGAATGCAAGGGATCTGCCTGCTAAGGCCTCGCAAGATCAAGGACGTGCACCAAAAAAAAGTTGCTGCCAAGGAGCAGCTGCTGGCGGTGCACAACTGCATCCAGCATGTAGGCTTCAGCTTCGACCAGATCTGGCCCGAAGAAGGCCTCCGCCCCATCGACCCCTTGATTGAGACCAGGCTCTCTCACGAGTTTGAGGGGGAAACCAGGACGTATGTGCATAACGCGATCACGAAGGAGTGCCACTGGGAGCCTTTGAACGGGGAGCACTACCGCCTCGTTTTGGCGCCGGACGAGGGATCGTCCTTGTTCACAGGATTTATGTTTCTGGCTTCCAAAGGGGCTGCCATTGGATTCAACCGAGACGAAAGGTATTCTGTCTGCAGAAAATTCTTTCCAGCCTACAGGTTTTGTGTCTCAGGCCTGCTGGCTGCTTGAGGTAGCTGCAGCTACTTGGTCTGAAGCATTGTACCGCCTGCCCAACCGAGTCACAAACTCCACAACGCCTGCAAGAACATCCTCACCTCCACGCCAGTGATGAAGAGATCCTGGGCTCTGGCTTTGTTGTCTCTCTAGGAAGGTACTGTAGCAGAGTTACGTAGTTAGTTGGTCCTTGTTCTATTCAGTGGTTCGGTTCGCTTTCCGATTCTGCCTGTCCTTCAAGTCTAGGAATGTATATGCTGACATCGTGGATATCACGGTGCCGTCGGTCTCCTTGGAAGCAGCACGGGATCACATGCTCTCTGAAGGCAGCAGGTGAACGGTACTTGGATGTGGCAACCAGGCTGTTTTTGCAAAAGGGGCTGCTTTTTGCATTCCGATTTATCTAATTTATTTCCAGACAACATCAAATCCCCTTAAGCCTCGGCCCCACGACCCTCGTGCCCACGCGAACAGATGAGGCAAGAGCTGATGATGTATTACAAGAGATGTTCGGCAGAGACATCCTTCTCGAGACACTGTTTTGCATTGTTGGTCGCATTACACTTCCCAAGCAGAATACCTGAACAACTGCCGATGTCCCAGGAACGGCCTCACGCCAACTGAGAACGAAGATGAAGATTTCGAGAATGTCGTCGGCATCCTCTCCAAGTTGGTGAAGCCGCCTGGCTTTCCGTGTCCTTTCCCTAGCCTACAAAGTTCCTAGACTCCCGATTGTTTCGGCTAGGTTGCATGACGACGGCTTCGACTTTTCCAGATGGTGCTCATGGGCTCACACATCCAAAAGAACGCAATTCACCGGCACACTGCTGCTGCTGTTTTGGAGTGGGATCGAGGCAACTGACCCTAATCTAGCCGGCCTCGGAAGCTTCGTCCCCCAAACCCCAAGTGCCTCGAATTTCAAAGACTCAAGTAAGCCCCAACTGATCACTTCGTCCGAAACCCTCAAATCTGCAGGCTGGAGTCAATCCGTTTCACATCCTCTCCAAGCAGACGGATGTGGAGGCTCCTGAATCCAACTTCGAGAAGGTCGTGGATTTGACGGTTCGAGCAGCCAGGCTAGATTTACACTTTGCAGGGGTTTTATCCCAGTATAATGTCTTGATACTCCCTGCTCTGTTCCACCTGATTGAAGGCACTGATGGATGAACAAGTGTATGCAATGTGGAAATTCACGAGGGTTCTCTTGGAGCCCTTTCGCACAATTTCTCTTCATTTGGCCACTCGACTGCAGACTCTGCCAGGCTTCCATGTTGTGATCAGAGACATGTAGTGTTGACAACCAACTAAGCAGCAAAATGCTCGCAAGCTTTGGCATCTACATGATCACGTGCACGACATGAGCACGAACGCCAATGTGGAAAAAATGCTTGCGGCCCTGTCCTCGCAGTGCTTGGCAGCTCATGTCTTGGGAATGAAGCCAGACGTTTCAGGGCCACACGGCCAGGCAGGCCATTGCTGGGTAGC